TTATGTTTTGCATCATTTTATCGACACGATTATCACTACTTACTATAGATAACTTTTCACTGGAATTGTAGTTTTAAAATCGCTTTTCCTGTGTAGCGTAGGATGGGTGTAAGTGCATGCGTCACCTGCAATGCATTTATTGTTCGACATTTGCCAACAGCTTCGATTCTGGTTCAACATGACACTTGTTGCTAACATTAGTTCAGTCCCAGGTTCGATCGCATTCCAACTATTGAGAAATATCATTATTTTATGACACAAAACTTTACAGACTGCCTCGTTGGCTGAGTGGTCACAAGTACGACTGCCGGGCAAGGGGTTTCGGGTTCGATTCCCTGTTCGGGCAAAGAATTACAGGGTTTTAAAAAAAATCTCAATAGGAGCACGGAGTCTGGAATTGGGCCCGGTATATGGCAATAGGCTCACCCACAATTACATGGGACTCATAACATAAATAGTGAAAAGTGGGTGTTATATTGTACAGTGGCATTAAGTGCCGCAATGTGCATATCTACCTACCCCTTCGGGGATAAAAGGCGTGATGTTATATTATATATGTGCAAAACTATACCAGTATAATATTATGTTTGATCTGTACTTGAACTTAATGCATATTCGATTCTACAACAGTTACGCAAATGCAAAAATTGAAGAATGATAAATGACAATATAGTAGACAAATAGATAACATTTCATTTATGTGTAAACCACCAATTTGGTGGAAATTAGTTACCGCAGCTTATGAATTCAATTTCAAATATGTTGCTGACCCAACTGACACTGTTAAAATAATTAACTATTTTTATAAACAACTCCATGTTGTTTCTTTATTAAAAATCCGTATTTGAGTTATTTATATGTTTAACATATTTACGTATCTTGTGTACTATACTTTGAAGAGACAAATAGGGACTGACTGTTTGGTGACTGCATGGTTGACGCGGTGGCTGGGCAACCGGCTTCCGCGCAACGTGCATCGGGTTCGATTCCCGCACGGAACAACTCTTTGTGTGATCCACAAAATTGTTGTTTCGGGTCTGGGTGTCATGTGTATGTGAAATGGTATGTTTGTAAGCGTATCCACAACACAGGAGAACCTAGTGTGGGGTAACGTAACAAAATGAAGCGATGTCACCATCACTGCACTGTATCTAGCTCTGTAAAGTGCTTATAACTGTGAATGCTTTGGAAGCATACCCATTTTTCTTTTTAACGGGGGAAAATCATCGAATGACCGCTCCAGCCTGGGTGAGGTAGGAGGGAGTGTCAGACTCTTACTGACTAAAAACCACCTCGTTCCTTCTCCTGCACGTCGAGCCGGAGCCCGGTAACCCGTTAGATTATCCGCGACATACTACCCATACTACAGTCCTTACTCGTTCAGGGAGTCAATGTGTTACATTTATGTTGTAAAATAAAAATCTAAGTGTGGGAGAGCCATGCTTCGGCACGAATGGGCCGGCTCGACCGGAGTGATACCACGACCTCACAGAAAACCGACTTGAAGCAACGCTTGCGTTGTGTTTCGTCGTGTGAGTGAGGTTGCGAGAGGCCCAATTACCTTCCCCTTCCCCAATCTCCCCAATCCCTGAATCCCAAACGATGCTCAAACTCCTAATCCCCAAAAAGCCGGTGACGCACTTGTAACGCCTCTGGTATTCCAGGTGATGGACACCTGGAATACCAGAGGCGACGCCGATTGCTTACCATCAGGTGATCCGTCTGCTCGTTTACCGGCTTACGCCATAAAAAAAAATTTAAGCATAAAACATACCTATACATAGAACCATAACAGCTCCTGTTTCCTGACGTGAGTTTACAATCATCAATCTCCTACTCACAAACACCATGTCTCGCCCGCCGCCTGTTGCACATATAAATCAATCCGCCGCGAATACTGCTACACTACTTGTTGTGACTTCGATTCCCGTTTCGAACAAATATTTGCAACAGCTATTGATAGATCGGTTTTCCAAGTATAGCTATTTTTAAAGTGAAGTTGTCCAGGTTCGTGTTTTTAATAGTATATTTAGTGTAGCAAGAAATAATATGTTATACAATTAAAAACGATGAAACATAAAAATCCCATGATTAAAATGTACCTAATAATATAAGGTATGAACATACGTTTTTCAAGTTTAATACGTATTGCTAAGGATTGGAATTCTTTGCCAGAGTCTGTGTTTCCTGAAGGACATAACCTGGGTGTCTTCAAGGCCCGAGTGAATAGGTTGCTTATGGGTCCACGTGCTACATCGTAGATCGCATGAGGCGAGATAGTGGTCAAACGTCGCCCCATCAAATATAAAAAAGAACGTGTCCATAATCAAAAGGATCTATCTTCTCGAAGAGAATACCAATATTAATATGTCTTTACCAACCACGGGACCACAGACTTCCGGTCATTTGGAAGGCGTACAAAGGGCCGAAGCCAACTGCGCAGAAGCCTTTTCTACCTTTATCTAAATACAATGGGACACAAACTGTAAAAAGTAATAATCAATAATATTTTTTATAATAACTATCTTACCTTAACTTCGTTATCTACTTCATACTTTCTTTTTACAATTTTGCACCTACCGCTTTAACATTTCGCACCACCCAATGGTCGACTGTCAGAAAATGCCTACGGCATTAAGTCCGCCAATTTCACTGTATGTGCAATCAAGTTTTAATAAATAAATAAATAAATAAACTATCGTGAGACACAACCCCGCACGCTGCTCATGAGAAAGTCCTCTGTGGCTCGAAACTAGTGGAGCTCTTCTCAGTATATTTACGTCAGTAATCCGCGATTTTTAGTATCTTTATTAATTCCTTTTTTCAATAGATTTACTTCCATCTTAACAGTAAAGCAAAATTAACTTTATAACTGCTATTTCCATATTTCATAAGCTTGCGTTGTCAATACTGCTTAATGCCAATAATGTTTATATCTTCAATGTAAGATGTCGTTTCCATGAATCATTTGTCGCCATATTTCCTCTGATGACACATGTTGTCTCGTGATTCGTGTACACACATGTGGTACATAGCAACTGTATATTTACATCAAATACTATTACTATTATGTATTGGGCTTGTACGTAACTATTTGACAAGGAACTTGAAAAGTTTCAATCCCTTTTCTTTAATGGGGGAACATCATCCAATGACTTCTCCCCGGGTGAGGCTGGAGGGAGTGCCAGACTCTTACTGACTAAAAACCACCCCTTTTGTAGAAAAGGGGTGGTTCACTTCGAACCGGAGCCCCGGCAACTCGTTAAGCCCTCCACGGCTCCGTGTCGAGTTTCAATCCCAGCTAGATGCTTACATTCATGAGCAGCGCATATTATGTTTAATATTATGTGATAAACAGTACATAACATAACATCACGCCTTTTTATCCCCGGAAGGGTAGGCAGAGGTGCACATTTCGGCACTTAATGCCACTGTACAATGTAACACCCACTTTTCACTATTTATGTTATTTTATCTATTGCCATATACCGGGCACATTTTCAGAATCCGTGCTACTACTGAGATTTTAAAAACCCAGTAATACTTTGCACGACCCGGGAATCGAACCCGAGACCCCTTGCCCGGCAGTCACACTTGCGACCACTCGGCTAACGAGGCAGTCATATTAGAGGATAATAGAGGTACTTAATAATTATTATTACCTACAAACTGTGTCACTGCCCCTTTGTCTTATGTTAAGGTCGCAAGTATACCAAGCAAAAGACCTCGTAAGTATGCGATTCTTAGATTCTGCAAAAGTTCTCGTTGTAGCTAAGTTGTTCTTCATGAAAAACGAAGCGACATTATATTGAACAGCAGCCCATCAATTAGAATCTACACTTATCCAATAAAACAATCAAATAAAATATGTTATATCTTTACTAATATTATAAATCGGAAAGTGAGTTTGTTTGTTTGTTTGTTCCGCTTTTACGCCGTAACTACTAAACCGATTGATTTGAATATTTGCAGACGTAAAATTAGAAGTCCGGATTAAATAATAGGATACTTTTTATCTTGGAAAAATTAACATTCCCTAGGGAAAACAAAAGTATTGGTATAGATGGCGCTGTGTGTATTGGTATATTATTATGTCACAGGCTACTTTTTTCCTTTTGTGACGCGAGCGAAGCCGCGGGTAAAAGCTAATATAACTATAATGCCTAAAATATTTAACCCCTAACCATTTAATAGGCACAACCATTCAAAGGTTATGACGACCTGTCACATGTATCATCACGACTGTCACAATATGAGGTGTCTCTGAGTGATGTCTATTTATAACAGGCCACTATGTATTGCAATACTGTAGCCGACTGTCATCATGTGATGACAACGGATGAGATTCCGAGCGTGATAATCGTGTTAGACGCTGATTAAAATTTGTAATTAATATTGGAGACAGGTGATTGATTGAAGCGATTGTAATATTTGTTCGATTATTGTATTTGAAAGTGTAAGAATTGCTCTTCATTTTATAACTAACTAACAAACCCAGCGAACTCCGTTTCCCCACCAGATGGCTTCGTTTTATGTAACATTCTTCGCTTTAAACCTCACGGAGTCCGAGACCTTTCCAACGAATGCAAAACCGTGGAAATCGGTTCGTGCGTTCTGGAGTTATAGCGTCAGGAAGGAAAACCTGACTTATTTTTAAGTAGTAGATATTCACTTCTATTGATCGTGTCGACTGCGAGTGAATTTGTAATACACAGGATTTAAGTTTAATAATTAAACGTTGTTGTGGAAAAAGTCTAGTAGGAACTTTACTTACTATTTCTCAAAGAAGACCATCTTTTTAAGAAATAGAAAATGATATTGAGATGAAAACATCACGTCAATGCTCAATTTATCATTTAATAACATTTACTTACAATTAAAATGACTGCCTTATATAAGAATGCCTTTGTATCTAAAATAATAAAATCAAAACAACCCAACTTCAACATAAGATTATGATCCCTATATTCACTAAAGATATGGTATAAATTACAATAAACTTAAGTCTTATTACTTGTATTGTTATCATTCCAGGTATCAATGTACTCTTGCCTGATGGTCTTCACATCGGCTGTTGTGGCAGACGTGATGCTGACAGAAGTAGACTTCTTGTCACATTTAATTAACGGCTTTATGAAATAACGCCACGTCTTACCGCAGATCTGCATCAGACCTATCACGGAAAGACCGAGAAGAAAGCCCTGGAAAGAAGGAAAAGCTATTATAATACAACTGCACTGTTGATGCGGTGACTGGGCAACCGGCTGCCGTGCAACGTGTCGTTTGATTTGATCCGTACAGAACAACACTTTCTGTGATCAACAAATTGTTGTTTCGGGTCTGGGTGTCATTGTGTATGTGAACTTGTATGTTTGTTATTACGCACCCACGGCACAGGACAAAATCTTAGTGTGGGGCAACGCTTTATTTGAAAAAATAATAATTTATGATGCAGCAATTTGATTAGTAAAGGCCGAAAAGGGACTTGTAACTTGAATTGTAACTCTTCTATATTGGGTTGCTAGTGAAATAAGTGACAAGTGAGTTTATTTTTGCAAATAGGCTACAAGGTATCACGTTTACACGTCAATTTTATAAGCGAACGATGAGGTCGACATTTCTTTATCGACGTGTGTGTCTTGCGTGTGTTTATATGTGCGACACCGAATGCTTACCATCAGGTGATCCGTCTGCTCGTCTGCTAATACCAATGTCAGGATTGCAGTAGGTAGGTAGCACTTTGTAGATTCTGATTATGTCCATGAGACAATGGTATGAGTATAAATAGATATATATTATACGGATTCCTTCAAACTATGCCCATATGTACAGATGGTGTACCAAACCACAGATGTTAAACTTCAATTAGTTATTTTTATTACAAACATTCGATTTCGTACATGACTCAGTTTCATAAATATCTTCATTAATTAGTATAATAAATATCTTGTCATAATAAGTTTCCTGTATCTCATATCGCTGTATGTTTAATATGCTCACTAACTATACAATATCTATCGATGAACCGCTTTAAAATAGAAGCTATCTTTTCGTACTCTAAAGCTCAAGACTGGTAGAGACCAGACCAGGCTAGTATTAAACTTTTAAACAAAGTTCATAAATTCGGCCCATTACCTTAAATCTGATTCTTACTGGATAATTTTTGCTCAGTACCAAAGCAGTCAAAATCTATTCTCATGCAAACTATAGCTAGATACTAAGAAATTAGCTTTTTCATCCACACATACATTACGAAAACAAACAATATGAGATATAACTCGACCTCGGAATATACAAAGTAAACGCTAAAATAACTAAATCAAAGAGTTAAGGAGCATGCACACTAATCAATACGTTTATAATTGTACTTTGACTAGTAACAAATCTTGGGACATGTAATAATAATTGTACCCAGTTAATACAAGCGAAAAACGTATTACAAATGACATTATTTCATATACATTCGTAACACGCACTTTTCATTGGTTCAAATTGGGATTTTAGTAGGTAATACGGTACGGCTAATCACTCACCGCTTATAAAGTCAAGAATGTTTGCTGTTACTGAAAATATCAAAAATTGAGATGAAAGTAATTTTCCTGAGTTTAGAAATGGGTCCAAAGCCACATCGACAGTAACACTTACGACCATTCAATGGTCGAAGCAGTATAGAATGAAAAGAGAAAAAAGATGTCAAATTTAGGTTAACATCAGATTTACCGATTTTCTCACAACCGTCTTTCATGTGTGTATGCTCAACAAGACTTCATTCCAACGACACGGAGTTACCTAGTCTTTGAAATAGCGGCTGAACGTGGCACCGCGCCAGCAGCCAGCACAGTGTAATCAATGGCACCGTATCTATCTCATCGGGAGTACGATGGTGTTTGTCTAATGTCCAGATTAGGAGAACTTAAGGATTCATCTAGTAGAAGAAATTATGAAGATTCTATGGAGTTTGTTGTCAATGAGAGATTATTTTACTTGATCAAGTAATTTTAAATGCTTTATTTTAATGAAGTAATTGGTTGCTTATAGTCATGGGAAATGATTTTGTGTCTTTGCTGTTTTCTTTCGGTATTTATTGACATAAAGAAATGCCATTAAATTATCGCTATAAATCTTTATTTATAGCGATAATTTAATGGCATTTGATGATCAAGTTAAACCTTGGTTTAACTTGATCAAAATCACGGCTAAATGAGTTGACGTTCTATCAGGAAGGAGCTAAAGTTGCAAATCTTAAAAAGAACTTACAATACTGCCTCCAAGGTCAGAGACGAACAGGTTCCAGTCATAATTGTAGCGCTCCTCATACACGGAGACCATCATGCTGTTGAAATTGACGTATAACTGTGGACAGTACAACTTGATCAATTTCCAGCATCATCAATATCATCATGATCATAAGTTTTAAGTGTGGGAGAGCCATGCTTCGGCACGAATGGGCCGGCTCGTCGTGTGGGTGAGGTTACCGGAGGCCCAATTACCACCCTCCTCTTCCCTAATCTGCCCAATCCCTGAATCCCCAACGATCCTCTCAAACTCCTAATTCCCAAAAGGCACGCACTTGTAACGCCTCCTAGTGTTCCAGGTGTCCATGGACGACGCCGATTGCTTACCATCAGGTGATCTGTCTGCTCGTTTACCGGATTATGCCATAAAAAAATCGCTCGTTTACCGGCTTATGCCATAAAAAATCGCTCGATTACCGGCTTATGCCATAAAAAAATCATCATCATCATCTGAAAGATGTCTACTGCTGAACACAGACATCACAGATAGACTCTTAGTCAACATCTTCATTGATATACCCAAAATAAATAGGTAGATACATAAACAGTTCCTTACATGGTATGCAAAGCGTTTGTGATACCTTTGGGGCGTCCCACTATCAGAGATATATATGGGACCCACTTATAATATATTAAGACGAGAATATTGATATTGGTCGCCATTGACCGTCTGTGGTTTGATGATTAACTTGGTGACACTTTAAGCCGTTGCACTTTTTGACAGACAAGGATTATAAGTTTTGCCTTTGAACATAACACGAGTTTTATTTAAAAGTCTGCTTATAAACACGGCGCACTACGCCAAACCTTTATTGTTATACGTGTACTAAGGTTACGGTGATCGTTACCATCAGGTGGACCGTACGCTTTGATGCTATCAACAACAGCTTTAAAAAAATAAATTAATGTAATTTAAAGTTGAAGTCTAACAGCAAGTTCTGATAACTTACATTTGTCTCCAAAGCTGCAGCACCATTGGTCGCCGACCACAACTTGTTACTACTGTCCCAAAAGTAATATTTCTGTCTGTCCGTCACGAAGCCGTTGTATAGAAGTGATCGACAGATACGAGGGCAAGACGAGTAATTGTGTGATTCGTAGATACTGAAAAGGTAGAACGTTATGGAGTAATTCCTAATAAGAGTCACAATTCTTTGGTCACCAAACAGCTAATGCAGAGTGAAGTCTGTTTATCCATAACATAACATAACATAACATCACGCCTGTTATCCCCGAAGGGGTAGGCAGAGGTGCACATCATACCAATGTACAATTTAACACCCACTTTTCACTATTTATAAGTCTCATGTAACAGGGGGTGAGCCTATTGCCATATACCGGGCACAATTCGAGACTCCGTGCTACTACTGAGATTTTTTTTTAAAACCCAATCCTTTTCTCGACCCGGGAATCGCACCCGAGACCCCTTGCCCGGCAGTCGCACTTGCGACCACTAGGCCAATGAGGCAGTCTGTTTATCCAATATTCCATTATAATATACATGCATGTAATTTACGATAATTAAGGTATGATTCCGAACCACGCTGCACGCAGCAGTGCTGCCGCAGCAGTGCTGCCACTAAGGTGCTGCCCAACAGTGCTGCCTGCTGCGCTGATTCCGACCAAGGCTGCAGTGTCGCTCTATTCACGGTGATGCGTTGTTGTGTATTCGTTAGTTTACTTTGAGTTGACAAGATGTCGATTGATGACCAACTTTTATTTTTACTTTTGAATGACGATGATTTATTGTTGGTTTATACCAATAGTAAAAGAAAAGTAACAGATTCGTTTTATAAAAGCAGACAATGGGAAGGATGTTACAAGACGCTGATTAAAAACCATTTGATGAGTGACGACGTAAAATTCAGAGAGTACTGTCGTTTAAATAAAAAGCAGTCAGTTTTATTCATAGTTTAATTGCTGACGAAATTGAAGCAAATTTGTTGTCAATTTACGTCACATGCACGTAGGTACACTTGCTGCAGCGGCAGACGCGTCACTACTGGTCTGTCGCGGCGGTAGGGTGACACTGATGCGCAGCTGTGCTGCCGCTACATTGCTGCCGCTACATTGCTGCCGCGACATTGCTGCCTAGCTCGGAATGTAATCTCATATAAACTTATAGAAATTGTACGGGGACCAGTAGTGTCGCAGCAGCACTGCTGCGGCAGCACTGCTGCGTGCTGCGTAGTTCGGAATCATACCTTTAACATTTGTTATTCATAAAAAAAGGGTATTTGTATGCAAAAAAAAGCAATTACCTCCTATACTTAATGATAAGGCGCGTCATACTAGTGTGGTTGCTACAGCGGGGCAATGTACTGTCAATCCACGGACCTGAACACCCAACTTCTTCAGTTGCAAGGTTCCAAATATATCTGGTGGTACACTGGAAGAAAAATACATTTGTTACTGGAGTACGAAGTGTTTCTGGTAGGATAGCAACGTTTATTAGAAGATACCCTTTGTTTAGGAGAAAAATCATCGGATGACGGCTCCCGCCCTGAATGAGGTGGCAAGGAGTATCAGACTCTTACTATCTAAAATGGTTCTTCATAGGGTGGTCCCTGTTCCTACTCCTGCTTCGAGGTAGAGCCTCTGGAACCTGCTAGGTCGTCAGCAGCTAAGGTATGAGAAGAGACCTTGTCATCTCATTAAGGGAGGGTCCTTAATAGGATGCTGCTTAAGCTTACTAATATTGTGGTTCTGGTAGATAATCTCCAAGCATAATAACAGTCTTCTGTAATCCTGTCCAGACAATTTAGAAACTATAAATCGTATTAATTCACAAAAGTTATTAATTTCTGGAGTGTGCAATGTGAGAATTTATGTGGACGATTATTTCTGATGGAGTAGGTAGATATTTCATCTGGCTGTGAGAAATATTTCTGAGAAACTTCAGATTTTGTGAATAAGATATTATATAATATTATAGCCGACTGTCCAAGAGTCCAGATCTAAGTAGAACTCATCAAAGTGTTATCCTGAATCATTATGATATATATTAGTAAGTCGTTGTTACTTAGCCATGCCGACACGGCTCCAATAGATCTGGATAAAATATGTTACCAAAAAATTTACAGCTATAGGGATGATGACAGGGTATGAAAATTAAAAATTTAATTAGTCCGTAAGTTAGGTAATGAAAAAATATTAGACACGTTTTTTTTATTTTGTTGTATAATAAAACAATACTTAGATAAAACGAATCAAAATTTAGGAGTGGGGACTAAAACGTCATTTCTACGTATAAAATGTACATAGAAGTGACGTCACGCGACATTTCAAATTCCTCATCATCAAAAGTATTCGTTTCTGTAAGAAAATTAAAATTAGGCATCTACCCTATTATAATATCTAGACCTTCATATAGACCAGAAAAAAATATTTACTCTTACAATCATAACTATTTTACGATAAATACAATAAATAATTGAACTGATAATTCTTGTATAAACTACGTTTAAAAAAACGATTTTCAATCCCCTCGTTTTTTTAAATATTTTTTTATTAACTATTTATTAATTTTTTGAAGTATTTCTTAATATACTAAAACTTAAGTGTAACCAACAATTTTCTGAAAACTGCATCAAAATCGCTTTAGCCAATTGCGAGGTAATCGCTCACAAACACATACACAGGGCTTAGTACGAGTCAGTTGTACGTTAAAAGTAATCGAAATGAGAACTCGTTCGGCGCTTTGATTGGTTGGTTCATTGGCACCGGCCAATCACAGCGCCGAACGCGTACTCGTTACGATTACTTTATACATAGAACTAACTATTTAAATCGGTTAATAAATAACACACATAATTGTTTACAAGTTACCTCATTAGCGCTGTAATTGAGCCTATTGGTGCAAGGGTCATCGCTCCTGCTGATCATCTTGTACTCATCCACCGTCACCTTCACCCTCAGGGTCTCTCCCACGTTCAAGTACAAGTACTCCACCATCCCACCGTTGTACACCTTTACTTCTACATTGAAGATTCATTAAATTGGACTTCCCTGATTTTATATTTCTTAATTTTTTATCCGAAAATGGCAACAAAATTCATAATCAAACTCAAAAATGAAAGTGAGCTTATTTATTGGAGGCCCAAAGGCCAAAGGCTCCCTAAGTCTAAAGGATAGCAAAATTGTAACACTCCTGTTATTGCGGATATAGGTGATGATTGCTATCAGGTGATCTGTCAGCTCGTTAGCTGTCCTAATAAATACACAATAGAAACACGAACAAACAAAATGGAACCGAAAATCTTTTGCTAAAAGTGCACGTACCGGTAAAAGGCTCCCTCGTATAGTGTATGTAGACGTGGTACCCTGGAGGTATGATACTGACAGTAGTCTCCATATCGCGGGCAGTGTGTCGCATGGTTACGGAGTACCCTGTCGCCTGGGACATATGCTTAATATCGCTTTTTGGAGACAAAGTATAACAACGACCCAATGCGAAACCTATTACGGGTGTTACATCCACATCTGTTGAAAGTATGTCTTATTAGAATTACCTTATTCAATAAAATCAAGTAGTGGTAGGACAATCACTTTAACCTCTCACTTCATGATGTGTCTTAAGTAAGAGAATACTAAATAATAATGTATTGCCAATAAAGTGAACTCAAAATCCAATGTGCAAAAAGAGAACATATAAAGAACACATATGTAACTCGTCATGGACATTGACGATTTAAATATTAAAATAGATATCCACAACATTTGTTCATACAAAAGTAGTCTCTAAACGTCGGAAATAAGATCTATTATAATGGTGCAAGTGGAGAGCGGTCACCGGTGACCGCTTGTATCTTGACCAGAAGAATAAATAAAAAAATACTTACTATGCCTGAATCTGTCGAGAGCGTACTGCACGAATATTTCGTTCGCATTAAACGTGATATTGTCCCACACTTCGTCCAGGTCATTGTTCTCAAAATCAAAATTTTTCCATTCTTCTTGAAACGATGGGTGACCATACAGTTGGTAATCCTGAGAAAAAGTGTCGACCTTAACCTTAAAATCTTAGAATTAAGATCTACCATAACACATTAACATAACATCACGCCTTTTATCCCCGAAGGGGTAGGCAGAGGTGCACAGTATGCCACTGTACAATGTAAAACCCACTTTTCACTATTTATGTTATGAGTTCCATGTAATAGGGGGTGAGCCTATTGCCATATACCGGGCACAATTCCAGACTCCGTGCTACTACTGAGAATTTTTTAAAGACCCAGTAATACTTTGCCCGACCCGGGAATCGAACCCGAGACCCCTTGCCCGGCAGTCGCATTTGCGACCACTCGGCCAACGAGGCAGTCCAGGCAATTAAGATCTATTTAAAGTATATTTTTTAAACAGGAACGAATGGAGTTTCTTTCTCGTTCTTTTCCATTCAAATCTACATTTTGGAACGAGCACCAACTTCACTGATGAACAGACGGACAAATTATTATTTATTTAATAGGTATTTGTTTACGTTTCAAAAGTACCAAATTATCGATTAATTGATTTGACTTTGACTTTAATTTTTAACAGACCTAGGTTACTTAAATAGAATTTTTATCAAAAACTTAGATCGACAAAAAGATTTTTGATTATAAGTCAATATGCTAATATCAGAACAATAAAGTATCCTATAAAGATTGTCTATAGTCCATCTGTTTAGGTAATTAACTAAAGGTAAACAAAGAAAACCACGTGACACAGAGATACTTAACCTACTATTACTTCAAATATTTCTCGTGTTTTAATTTTAACTAAATTCACTTTAAAATCGTTCATTTGTCATACACACACATACAAGTACAAATGCCTAAATCGTTCAAGAGCCTAGCCTATGGGTCTATTTCATTATCATGTTTATATAGAAACTATTCTGAATCTGATGTACGGATTTCTTTCTTGTATGGATATGTGTCTTTGAGCCAAGTTTCTTCAATATATTTGAACACATTGATTACAAACGATGAATAACCTAAACTTAAATAACTTAATAACAAAAACAAAACAAAGAAACAAGATAAATTCAACAAAATAGGAACGCGAGCGCAAACGACGAGAGAGCTGTCAATGGCGCCTGATTAACCGACTAAACGTAATACACGCTACTTTCATTGTCGCGCTACATCTTAGTTGTACTCTTTAATTTGATAACATTATTTTGGTTCGTTCTTATAGAAGGGTTTTGGATACCTGGGATTTTTAGGCTCTTTATGGTGTCTATTGTAATGAAATATTATATTATTTAATAAATGTTATTAAATTAATATCCTCAAGCAGATATATATAACATTTACTAAGAAATAAGTGAAAAGAAACAGAAACATAACATTTAATAGAGAAAACTGTCGTAAAAAGGGAAACAATTTTATTTTCTTATGAAGTATTTTGAATCATGGAAATGTCAACTATAAAGAACTCTTTTTATGGTTTGTTTACAAATAGTTAACTACCTAAACAGACGGACTATAGTCATTTTATTTGATGATATGAATTCTATTTAGAATTAACTTTCTAAATCAAAATACAGTCTCTCAACAAATAAATAGAAGATACTCTTACTGACAATCATCTTATCATAATTGTATGGCGGGTCCTTGCAGAGTGTGATGCTGGGGTAGTCCAGGGTCTTGTTGAAATCGAAGTGGGTGTAGGTGGTGATAGGAATGTCGATCATCTTCTGTATACTTGCAATGATCTTAAAATTAATTAGAATTATACTTAGTGGTTTTATCATTTACACTTGAGAGCAATGGTGCAAAGCAGAGGTGCACATTACGGCACTTAATGTAACACCCACTTTTCACTATTTATGTTATGAGTCCCAAGTAATAGGGGGTGAGCCTATTGCCATATCCCGGGCACATTTCCAGATTCCTTGCTACTACCGAGATTTTTAAAAATACTTTGTTCGACCCAGGACTCGAACCCGAGACCCCTTGCCCGGCAGTCGCACTTCCGACCACTCGGCCAACGAGGCAGTCTCAGTAATACTTCTAACGGAACATATTTATCAAGAAGTGAAAAAAAGTTTCGAACCACAGTGAGCTGCGCGACGTCGCCGCGACCGCGCACGCTGCTCATGAGAAAGAACCCCTCTGTGGTTCGAAACGAGTAGAGCTTTTCTCAGTATATTCACGTGAGTAACCCGCGATTTTACTTAATTTAGTATGTCTCACGGTAGTTATTATAAAAACAAGTGAAAAATAAATAGCACCGGTCCGGTCCTTTGCCCCCAAGTATGCGTTGCAAGTTTAATTCAATAATTATCTCAATATTCTTGTTACTTCCATACCTGCTGTAGAACAACTCCTACGCATCCTATAACCACAAGAGTTTTTATCAAGTTGGGCCCTCTGATGCAATCTGAACACTTCTCTCTTATTTTCCATCGCGGATCTTCCACCTGGGTAAATTCTCTTTTTAGTTTTCTATATCCTTACTAATATTATAAATGGGAAAGTGAGTTTGTTTGTTAGTTTGTTCCGCTTTCACGCCGTTACTACTAAACCGATTGCTTTGAATTTTTGCAGACGTAAAGTTAGAAGTCCGGATTAAATAATAGGATACTGTTTATCCCAGAAAAAATTGATATTCCCTATTGAAAACAAAAGTGTTGGTATAGATGGCGCTGTATGTATTGGTATATGTCACATAGGCTACTTTTTATCCTTTTGTGACGCGAGGGAAGCCGCGGGTAAAAGCTAGTTACATCTATATTGATTGTATAATATTTTATTGAAATACAAAGTATATTATTGAAAACCATACATACTAAAAACCTTTATAATACAGTTGTGAGTGAAAACTTTGAGCGATCAATTTGTGTACCCACTCTATATGTGCCTATAGTAATTGAAACACGTGAATCTGGTTTGCTTTTTTTTATAGCATAAGCCGTTAAACCAGCAGACGGATCACCTGATGGTAAGCAATCGGCGCCGCCCATGGACCCTCGAAACACCAAAGCGTTACAAGTGCGTTACCGGCCTTTTGGGAATTGGGAATTTGAGGATCGGGAATTCGGGAGATGGGGACTAGGGAGGGGGTAATTGGGCGTCCGGTAACTTAAACACACGACGTGAAACAATGCAAGCGTTGCTTCACGTCGGTTTTTTCACTCCGGTCGAGCCGGCCCATTCGTGCCGAAGCATGGCTCTCCCGCACTTAAAACGCTTTTACGACCTTTGGTATAATTTGTACAAAATATTAATTTTACATTCTCTTGTAAGTGAATTTTGTCTTATTGAGAATAAATTATTTAAACTAAAATACATTGATACACAATACTGTGGTGATATGAAACCAATTCTTTTTACAATCGACATTTTTGTTCTTAGTCTACCAGTAATATAAGGTACAGGAGAAAATCCTGGTCAGGAACCACTTACTTAGATACATTAAAATGAAAACATTAAAACAATATGAATGCCATACCTTTTCCACAACGCTCATTTTGTCACTGGAATGTCCCTTATTATTCACTCATTTTTTTTTATTACAAACACGACCGAATTTCCTCCTTTTACAGAGATATATGACAGTATTTCACCATGAGCCACGATTGTCCATGGATTAATATATTGAGTCGTAAACAGTATTATAAATATTGTAGATAGGACTTATTGCCGTTTCGAATTATCTAATGATAGGATTAGGGAATCCTGTTGAAATTACATTAAATATTCATTCGCGTATTCAAGGTTTTTATGGGATTGTGCGGCAGATGGATCACCTAATGGTAAGTAGGTAATCGGCTCCATTAATGGACATCCGTAATACCGGAGGAGTTACAAGTGGGTAGCAAACTTTTTGGGGCGGCGGATTTGGATAGGCTAGATAGGCTCACTCACATGACAAAACACAAGTAGGCGTACGTCGTTTCCGATTATAAAAATTACCTAGTAGTATAATAGTCATAAAAGTAATTATCTAATGAGTAGTCTTTCTTCTACTGAAAATAAAAAAGTCTGCATCTTATTATGTACAAAAAATACTTTTGAACTGTTTTTATCTAAAAATATGAAATGTTTTCAATCTGCTGCATGAGATGTCTGTCATATATTATTTACAACGCCATCTATGTTTTGTACGAGGAACTTCTAGCAAAGTTTATGTTCCATCACTGCAGATGACACTAATAGTATGTCCAGATAGCATTTAGTAAGGTTTAAAATAATGTAATTAACATTATTATACAACGCTTAGTTTCTATATTATGTTAATATACTTACGTATTAGTAATACATTGCAACTAAATATGTAATAGGTTAAGTATCTACTTATCGTAAAGAAATTGATATTTTTAAACAGGCGGTGTGAAATAATAAATAACTCTAATTTGTTATGAAATTTATCAAAGTTATCAAATAAAAATTTAAAACAAAAGACTGATGACCGTTGATAAGGCGTAAGAAGTACCTATGTAAAAATCGTAGCAATTGGCGATCCATAGTCTCTGCCGACTCCCGTGGATAGCCAGACGTGAGAATATTACCTATGTATCTATGTTTTACAAGTATAATAGATGGGTAAAATAAAACAATTCAATATAAAGCTTGTAGCATTTTTTATTAAAGTTAATATTTACAAACACACGTAGGTTCCGTGCACTATTTTATATTAGCTTATGTGATATCACGTAAAGGCACAAACTAAGTACGAATCTTATTATAACTCAGTATTTCTTACTTATCCTCGAGTGTTTCGTAACTCGTAACAAACTTGATATATTCATTTTTATGGCCTCGAGGAAATAGCTAAATTAAGGAAAATGTGGCAGGCATACCTTCCAACAAAGTAAACGAAGAGTCTAATTCTGAAAAATGAACTCAAGAAATGAACCCGAGATCAAAATTTTTAGGTAAGAGGTAAGCTGGTTAACAATCTGACGGATCACCTGATAGTAAGCAACCAGCGTCGCCCATAGACACCTGGAACACCAGAGGCGTTACAAGTGCGTTACCGGCCTTTTGGGGATTAATAGTTTAAGGATTATTGGGGATTCAGGGATTGGGGAGATTGGGGGGGGGGGGGTATTTTGGTTATACTTGATAGGTTGACGTTGGGCCACCATCTTGGCTGGTGGTAAACAATGTTTGGCCTCCGGTAACCTCAATCACACGAGGAAACAAAACGCAAGCGATGCTTCACGTCGGTTTTCTGTGAGTGGTTTTTATGGAATGTGAATAATAGATCATGCCAAGTTTGTTTCTTATCGCAGATAAGTAAAAAACACGAAATGATATGCGATCACAATAAATAAAGCGCTAGGTAACACCCTTGTTACAATATTTCGCTGTCCATCACAGCTTTAGTTCCTTTGTACAAAACCAACACAAATTACTCACATACAATAACAGAGATGGATGCGTAAGTCTAAAGTCTAAAAGCTGAATAATCGTTTTTAAAACTAGAGTTTTCTTTGTCAAAACACTAAAAATAAATGTGTCGAAGACATGGACCACATTTTCTGAGTCCCATACGTGAAATGATTAAGAATAAAGTACTTTATTACTTAAGAAATAAAGTGTATTATTAGATAAAGGTAGTTACACCACAGAGACTATAGATATGATTAAAAAGAATATTTTAAAATAGCTATGTGAGTTGAAAGTCAAAACTTACTTTTTATTATATGAGAGGCACATTATAGATTGTAGAGTGTCATAATATATTAAAATTAGAAGACTACAGAGGTCTTAACTATAACTGATAAGTACCCAATTACAACACGAAAGTGTTCCCCAAATACTTATAAAAAGCTTTACACTACTAAACAGCTATGCTGCCTCGCATACAATGCAAATATTTAGTCAAATCTTTTGGAATGTATGTTTAAACTTGTAATAAAACCACAAGGCACCTTATCAATAAATAGGCTATAATACTAACGCTTCCGACTAGCATACGAACTGGGTCACTCCCCTGTCACTACAAATAAAGCAACAAGCAATCTAACATTCTGGACGCCAGTTATCATCTTTGTTTCACAACCTTATATTAAGTCCTTAAATATCTTAAATTATGTCTCGCTTCCTCTCCCACGGAAGATACAGATAGTGCCCTTAATAAGTCTATAACTGACGTACAAAACGAAACTTGTTCGTGAAAGCAACGCAACTGTAGATACTGACATTACTTTGTATCAGATACAGTCTACAGGGTCAAGGTAATGATCCAACTGAACACCAGTATGCTCACTACTGCCAGGGGATTATACGCCACATTACCAGAATTCGGCTTAATCTTTGCTACGATCGAGTTAGTCGCATTCTTGATCTTATTCACGAACTTGTCCAAAATGTCGGATCTCGCCGTGATATCACAAGCCGTATGACTAATCGCGTCAACAACTGGAGCCGAAAAGATCCTAAAGTTAACTTCATTAGCGTCTAGTTTACCGTACATCCAAATCGGCATCTTGTTGGACAGAATCCACAAGTTGTCGTTGTAATCAACTTTAATGTCAGTCGGGTATACCATGGTCTCCTCGTTCATGTAGATCCTGCCTTGGTTCTTCATCAAATATTCTTTGTTAGAAGTCTTCCAGCATGCAACAGCATTCAAGTTTACCAAAGAATAGAACAAGACTCCAGTTTTCTGGTCAACAAAAGATACACTGGACTGAGCATTCGGCCCTCGACTTCCCAAAACATTGAAAGCGCTGAAGTTATCATCAGCAAGCGTTTTGTTCCTCAGAAACTTGGTTGACACGGAGAATTCATCGTAGCTGGCCATGGGGTGGAAGTAAAGTGTGCTGTAGTTCTCAGCATTAGGAGCAGAGAGACCGAGACCGAACAACGCATCAGTCCAGCTGAAATTGAATCCTTTAACACTGAAGTCACAAGCTAAAGGATCAGGGTGGAAGTAGTGATGGGTGATCCTCCAAGACTCGTTCTTCTCCCAGGAGTACACAACAATGGCAGGTTTGCCTAAATCTCCAGCGTAAGCGTAAGTATTCTCACAGTCGATATCTTCAACAGCTATATTGGCAAAACCAGAGTCTTCTTTGACCTGGTCTTCGGGGAATACGTATTTCCTCAACAGGTTATCAGTTTTCAAGTCGTAAACAATGATCGAGGGTGGGTATTTCGTTGTGTTTTTCTCCAAGTTGCCCATTTTTCCATTGTCAAGGACCCAGAGACGTCCGCAGCGGTCAGCTCTCACGCGGAATGGGGAGATGATCTCTGGAGGTTTGCCGTCCTCGCCGATAGAGTGCGCTGCCCAACTTGGGTACGGGATCAACTTCGGTGATGTTGTTGAATTATCTGGAACGATACAGGATTGGGATAAGTGGTGTATTTTAATATAATACTAGAAATATTCCATTCTGAAGATGTGAGTATATATTGTAAATGATATTATTTATTTGAGGAGTTTGTTTACTATTTGTAACCAATGACTTTAGTCATACAAACATACGTCACCAAAATTAACCTTAAAATAAATCAATAAAACTTGGGTTCCTTGACATCTTTCCATTGATCAAAAGTAATTATTGTATAGAAATAAGTAATTGGTCTACACATACACAGAACACATTAAATACCTATGTAAGTCTTGTTAAATACAATGATTTTTAAAGAAAGTAGTAAGTAATAACGACTTAATACACTTCAAATAGACAGAAGGTAAAACAGGTAATTACAATTACAAAGCATTACTGGACATAACATTTAAAACAACATCTCAATAGTAGCACGGAGTCTGGAACTGTGCCCGGTATATCGCAATAGGCTCAGCCCCTATTACCCCATGTACCCTATTAGCCCCTATTACTCATAACATAAATAGTGAAAAGTGGATGTTACATTGTGGCATTAACTGTCCTAATGTGCAGCTGTGTCTACCCCTTCGGGGATAAAGGGCGTGATGGTATGGTATTTATGATTAACACTGGAAAAAGGAAAAATAAGAGCTCGAATAAATGAGGCTCGAATAAATAAGTACCCATTATAAGTTCTATTATTTTAAGTTTTATTTCGAAACAGAGGTCATTGAACTACTTTCATCGATAGAACTCAATTAACAGTCATTTTCCTTGTGTAATTACAACTAGATTTTAAGTAGGTAAACTAACGCATATTTCGATTCCCACAATTTGTATAGGATCGTTTCTAGTAATTGCTTAAGGATAACCATTAAGTTTCCTTTCAATTAAGTTCTTCCTTAAAAACAACGGGATCGTAGAATTATTCCATGTTTCATTCAATCACGTATTCAAGACTATCAAAAGACAAGAACATTAATCCCAATTACAAACCCCCTCCTCCTCCCAATCCCTGAATCCCCAACAATTCTCAAGCCCCAAAAGGCCGGTAATGCATAACACCTCTGGTTTTTCGAGTGTCCATAAGCGGCGCCGATTGCTTACCATCAGGATCACCTGAGAGTAGATGGATCACCATCTACTCGTTTAACGGGATATCCCATAAAAAATCTTAATAGTCTTAGAATTAAATTTAAATAAATTTCTAATAGATCACACTGAATAAATATGTAATCTTCGACGTAAGAAAAAATACAAAAACATATTTATTTGCCATACCACTTTCCTTGAACATGGACGATAACTAATAGAACAAACAAAAAGTCCAACTTAGCGTGACAACGAAGGCATGCATTACTAACCAAATAATAATATAGTAACTATTGTTAAAATATATCAACTGTGAAGTAAATAATTTATTCTTATCTTGTTCCGTGCAAACTTAATTTGCAAGCGTAAATGTGTTAGATTTGCAAATTAGACATCATTATATTGTATACAGAGTGTATCTAATAGTGATGGAGTATCTAGAAATAGACGGTGTTGTCTATCTTCTATGTGATCTTTCTTCTTTTTACGAGTTGAATCCTACAATGTCCATGTGACTTTGTCTTGTAAATTGTCACATGTTAAAGGGCACTCATTATTGTTAACGATTAATTCTGTTATAACTTCATTAAATAGAGAATGAGGGATTTAGTCAGATACTTTAAGTGTGGGAGAGTCATGCTTCGGCACGAATGGGCCGGCTCGATCGGAGTGATACCACGGCCTCACAGAAAACAACGCTTGCGTTGTGTTTGTGAGTAAGGTTACCGGAGACCCCGCTCCCCAGTCTCCCCAATCCCCGAATCCTCCACAACCCTCAAATTCCCAATTCCCAAAAGGCCGTTAACGCACTTGTAACGCCTCGGTATTTCAGGTGTCCAAAGACGGCGCCGATTGCTTACCATCAGGTAATCCGTCTGTACGTTTACCGGCTAATCCAATACAAAAAATACTAACTTAAACTTAGAATCATCAACAGCTTATAAATGCCCACTGCTGAGCAAAGCCTCTTCTCACATGGAGAAGGTTAGAGCAATAATCACCACGCTTGCTCAATGCGGGTTGGCGATTTCAAAGTTATAATTAGAAATTATAAGCCCAGGTTTCCTCACGATGTTTTCCTTCACCGTTGGTCAGTGGTGTCTAAATAATCTTAGAAAGTACATTTAACTCGGAAAAAGTCACATTGGTATGTGGCGACGCATGCCACATGTCAACGGATGACGTCACAAGAATCCTACATCGCACATGCAAAGTTTACAAACGAATAAACACAGATAGAAAAACCCAACGAACAACTGTTGGGCAGAAAGCCCGCCAGGCACGATCACCTCGCCTGGTCGGAGGATCCTCCTTTTCCGATCTTAGGGAACTATACTCTCTGTTCCTTAAAGTGGTGACCCCGACGTGATTGGAAACAACCTTCACTTCACGGAGCAGATTAGCACCGTCATCCGTATCGCCATCCCTCTCATTCATCACTTCTCCGCTGAGCGGTAACCAAGTCGCAGCCAACCAGCATCCTCGGCCTCATCAGGGACCACCATTACCTGCAACGAAGTTGTGCAGCCTGGTTCTTCCCTACGGCCTCACCAGCGTCTAGGGCACAGCACTTCTGCACACGGTTCTGAAGGACACCTCCTCCCGTCAACGCAGATGCCGGCCACTACGCACCTACCCTCGCAGCATCTCTTCCCCGACTCACCGTGGGACACTGCGAACTCATCTCTCCGACTCACTGGAGTTTCACCCTGCACCGCTCACCCGACTCACTGGGCACTTAGCGGCACAGTTCCGACTCACTGGAACTAGGGACTTTCTACACTGGTTCTGGCACCGCTCATCTCAAGCATCGACAGCCGTCTCAGCGGGATCGACCTCCGGTCTTGGGAGGGAGTGATGTGGCGACGCATGCCACATGTCAACGGATGACGTCACAAGAATCCTACATCGCACATGCAAAGTTTACAAGCGAATAAACACGGATAGAAAATCCCAACGAACAACTGTGGGGCAGAAAGCCCGCCAGGCACGATCACCTCGCCTGGTCGGAGGATCCTCCTTTTCCGATCTTAGGGAACTTTACTCTCTGTTCCCTAAAGTGGTGACCCCGACGTGATTGGAAACAACCTTCACTTCACGGAGCAGATTAGCACCGTCATCCGTATCGCCATCCCTCTCATTCATCATTTCTCCGCTGAGCGGTAATCAAGTCGCAGCCAACCAGCATCCTCGGCCTCATCAGGGACCACCATTACCTGCAACGAAGTTGTGCAGCCTGGTTCTTCCCTACGGCCTCACCAGCGTCTAGGCACAGCACTTCTGCACACGGTCTGAAGGACACCTCCTCCCGTCAACGCAGATGCCGGCCACTACGCACCTACCCTCGCAGCATCTCTTCCCCGACTCACCGTGGGACACTGCGAACTCATCTCTCCGACTCACTGGAGTTTCACCCTGCACCGCTGACCCGACTCACTGGGCACTCAGCGGCACGGTTCCGACCCACTGGAACTAGGGACGTTCTACACTGGCTCTGGCGCCACTCATCTCAAGCATCGACAGCCGTCTCAGCGGGATCGACCTCCGGTCTTGGGAGGGAGTGATGTGGCGACGCATGCCACATGTCAACGGATGACGTCACAAGAATCCTACATCGCACATGCAAAGTTTACAAACGAATAAACACAGATAGAAAATCCCAACGAACAACTGTTGGGCAGAAAGCCCGCCAGGCACGATCACCTCGCCTGGTCGGAGGATCCTCCTTTTCCGATCTTAGGGAACTATACTCTCTGTTCCCTAAAGGTACTTGCCGTTGGTAAGTTTCGAACCTGCACCCTCGTGCATGAGAAGCAGGTGTCTTCAACCTCCGGGCCACCACGACACTCTTACTAAACTTAGAATGTGACTAGTAAATCTGACTAAGATTCAAATTCCTTATTTCTTACGTCTTTGAACTAAGAGTTAAGGAACGTTACAAAGGTTAAAACTGAAGCTATAAACGAAGTAACTATTTAACAGAAATTAGTAGAGAACAAAGCAATTTAGTAAACACTCATGTTATTAGGAGAAGCGGTGAAAGCCAAACAATTAATTCCGAGTAAGTAATAGCTCATAAAACTGCATCCACTGTCTTCGCCGGGGCCGGCGCGCTTGTGTCGACACTACGACTAATTGTATAATGTGACGAGGATTGCATCTTACCTTCTTGGCATTTTAAAACAATAAACATTAAATGCTATTGCTATAATTTCCGTAGTTTATAAATTCCTCTTTCAATCATTATTTGTTTTATACATAGTTATAATTTATCTAGATGTATTGAGAAATTTTCTTTTGTTATGTGAATTGTGACATTTTAACTATTAACAGGGAGAACAGGTATAGCCGTTACATTATTACTAATAGTACTTAAACTAATATTCACCTTTCAAATTGATGTAATTCAAACTGGCAGGTACTCCGGACTTCCATCGAGGAACAGTGATGAACAGTCTATCCTCATAGATTTCCAGTCCCATGGGAATATTATTCTCTGGGATGAAGTTCTTCGTCTCCAGAGCCTGCTGCCTGGCCTCAGGAGTGGGGAACTCGTAGTCAATCTGCTTCCACTCATACACTATGTGGAGCTGGTCCATGCATCCACAGAAGTACACCAGGTGTAGAAGTATGAGGGCTTTCAAACCCCTCATTTTGAAGAGCTGGAATTAAGAGAAAGAACACGTTAATACAAAAAGAATACAAAATATACCGAAACAGAAGGCTCTTATGTTCTGAAATATATAATATATGTGTTTTCAAACACTTCGCATAGAAGCTTACATAAGATGATGTCTTCTAAGTAAGCTATCGCTATTCATTAACACACCATCCCCTTGGTCCTAAACTAGGGTCCTCAACTCTCAAAAGAAGATGACCAATAGAGATGAATACCCAATTTGCACAACAAAAATCTGATATAGTAAAAAGAGCAGTACACTTTCCTGAGTATTCTTTATAACAAGTTTATCACACCTACTTAATAGCAACAAGTAAGTTCAACAAGTACCGAAAATAACTTGCACTACTGCCTTACATAAATCAATTAACCTCAAGACCAATACGTACTTCCTACATACAAGGTCAGCAGAAATTGCTGTGACCTCGTTCAAGGTCACACTCCTTTCAATACGGCCATTCTTTGCCACGCCAGCTCACGCACTGTATTGGAGCAATTAATATTCAAGATCGAGTTCTTAGGATTGGGATTTTAGGGTTCAATGAGGTATTGTTTAACTGGTGCATCTGTCTATGACTTCACATCTGCATCTTATTTATTATTTATCTATTTTTAGCCATGGTCGTCCCACTGCAGGGCAAAGCCCTCCCTATCCTTCTTCCACTTCTCTCTTCTTATAGCTTTCTGTGGCCAATCCTTTTCATAAGCGTCAAGTTAAAGGAATCTTCGAACGCAAAAAATAAAATTGTGGTTGAAACTTAGGTATCGTTTTAAAGTTGATATTTTCACCATAATTACAATTAATTTAGTAGAAATAAAAGTAAAAACTAATAAGTAAAAACGTTATTGTAGCTTATACTACATCTTCTCTCTGCTCTTGTTAAAACAAATTGCCACTTTCAGCTTCTCTGTCACTAAACATATCAACTACATCAGTTTTTTCAACTAAAGCATTATCTATTTACACCAAGATTTTGTTCTATAGATATAACTCAAATTCCTTACGAGTATCCATTGTGCATTGTCTCGACAGGTCCTGGCTAATTTAATCAATTGTATACTTTATGTACTACACTTAGGTCGTATTTCTAACTTATATCCTACACGTTTATTGACTCAAAATATATAATTCATTATTAGTAACTACGGAAGTTCCTACACGACAAAAAGATATAAGGAAACCGAATTTCAATTTTATGTTAAGTCACACGGATATGTGTGATTCATATTTTTTTGGCCGAATTTCTACGGGGTTTTCCAAAGTTACGTAGGTATATACTTTTGGACTTTCGTAGTATTTGAAATCATTACGGTTTTCTCTCAGTAGATAGAGTATAGTTTGTGTAAGTATTGAATTTATAATTTAATATTTTATCTTCAGCTCAAAATATGATGTAATGAAAAGCAAACTATGTAGGTATGTTTTACAACTACAAAATATTTTACTTAGCTTGTACTATCTACTGATCTTCAGCACAAAACAAATCAAATGATAAACGTTAATAAAACAAAATATGATTGAATCAAACAACTAACACAATAGCAAAGTATCCAATACATTAGAATTCACAGCAAACTGCCTGCATAATAACTACTATTGTTAAATAAGACGACGATTCTGACATTTAAAACAATAACGATAAAGTTGATAATTCTATGTTGCATAATTGTGTCGCCATTCGATTGGTTTCTTCGTTATCGTACAATAACAATTATAAGAAGTGCTACGAACAAGTTTTTAATTGAATCGATGCAAGTTCCTTATTAATATTGTTAAAAAAATCCAATTTGTTTATTGTTATATTGTGAGAAAAAAACTACATGAACTCAATGCGAACACGCCCGGGCCATTGTACTTAACAATTAAAAAAAAAATTTTTAAGGGGGGAAAATCATCGATTCTCCGCGACTAACCTAACGGGTTACCGGGGCTCCGGCTCGAAGTGCAGGAGTAAAAACGGGGTGGTTTTTAGTCAGTAAGAGCCTGACACTCCCTCCCGCGTCACCCAAGCGGGAACAGTCATTCGATGATTTTCCCCCTTAAAAAAAAAACCGTTAGGTTCTCCGTGGCTCCGTATCGGCATCAGCCCTATTGTGCCCCATCCGTAGTGGTCTGATGGCGCCGAACGCTTGGATCTGGTTCTGGTCGGGCGGCGAGCTACCCATGCTCGCCTTCCGCAGGCCTGCGCTTACGGTGGCCGAAGATCGTCTCGCGATCCCCGACGCCCAGAGTGTCCTTCACGACGGCTGGGTTGTAAGAAGGCAGCGCTTCGCTGACTCATGTGCCCTGCCTCCTCCTTAGCTAGCATCGAATCTACCACACTGACTTACTAGTGATATTCAATATATATTCAATTATAAAGTTATTTTCTCTTGATCGACAACACATGGCACTCTATGTATATATATATATAGGAATAGACAAATATATAGGAATAGAAATGATTAACAATTGAGTGCCATGAGATAAATCATTTCAATTCATAACGTTATACTGGTGATTGGTAGCCTCTTGTGACTTAGCACATAATTTTAACTTCTATTTAGAAATCACGTGAAATTATTTGTTCTTTGTAAATAGAAAGAGCTTCACAGCTTAAGTGGTCAGTTAAAAAGTTGCGAACAACTTACGAAGGTGATGGTGTTAGGTGAAACTTAGCGATAGAATAGTTGTTACAATGTTAACCATCTGCGATAAGTAAGCTTTGATATTTTCTGAGTTATAAAACAAAATAGCACTACTTAGGTACTATTTTTTTTTCTTCTTGTCCCTAAGGCATAAACAGAGCTGCATAGTGTATATTATCGACAATACCTCATAAAAGATCCTGACCTGGTAATTATGGGACCCTCTCGGGATTATAACCTTTCTAACAGAACAAGTATTTTGAAAATCCGTTAACAAATAGCGGAGTAATCGATAAACAAACAAAAAAAAAACAATCATCCAAACATAATACCTCCTTTGAAGGCAATAGCTCTCTTTTCATAATTTTAATTGAAGAAGCTTAGATAAGAACATTGTTCGTTTCTACAGCTGCAATTGTAATACGTGTAATGTATGTATATTAATCAAATTTATTATCTGCCTCGTTGGCCGAGTGGTCGCAAGTGCGACTGCCGGGCAAGGGGTCTCGGGTTTGATTCCCGGGTCGGGCAAAGTATTACTGGGGTTTTTAAAAAAAATCTCAGTGGTAGCACGGAGCCTGGAATTGTGCCCGGTATATGGCAATAGGCTCACCCCCTATTACATGGGACTCATAACATAATAGTGAAAAGTGGGTGTTACATTGTACAGTGGCATAATGTGCACCTCTGCCTACCTCTTCGGGGATAAAAAGGCGTGATGTTATGTTACTTATGTGTTATGTTATGATTTTGATATCATACTGATTAATTATTTATTTCTAATAGACCAACTTTGGTACGTATTTTCCTCAATGCAAGTACCTACTCATCGCATGTCAACAAATGCATAGATGACGCGTTTATTGCAAAACTCGATAGAGGTCGCTGCTTGTTAAGTCACCACTTGCATGCCTTTGTCTTATTTACGAGACAATTATCGTAATTGCAATCGTAAACAATTATATGACTATATATATACATTAAAATACAAACTATGTTTTATGCATCTGTATACTTAGTTTTGTCTTATTATATGATAAGAGTGAGTACCTTGCTCCTACGTGGGCACAAACATATCTTGAAAAATTCGTAATAGTATCTAAAATCGATTCAATTGATTTGTTCTCAAATGATGACGGCAAGTCCCCAAATCTTCTTAAAAGATATCCTAAGCCTTAAGTCAGTCGCGGAAAACCTAACGGGTAACCGGGGCTCCGGCTCGACGTACAGGAGAAGGAACGGGATAGTTTTTAGTCAGTAAGAGTCTGACACTCCCTTCCGCCTTACCCAGGCGGGAGCAGTCATTCGATGATTTCCCCCCTTAAAAAAAACGTCCTCAACTCTTCTTAAAAGATACCCTAAGCCTTAAGTCAAAATTGTTCCTCAACGCTCCTAACCCACTAAACCCACTCGTGAAAAGTTCAGGAGAAAGAAAGAATTTCTCATTACCAGGGATAATATTTATAATAACTTTACACCAGTAACAACGTAGCCATGATCTAAACCACCCACAACAACAGCATCTCTATACAGCCTCTAACCCTGCTTACCCCATTTCAAATAATCTTGACCGCTATTCAACATTGAAACGTAAATGCGGTTCATCGCGTGGCTGTAGAAAATTATGTGAAAGACAATGGCGCAGACGCACGATAGTCTAGGAGCTAGCGCCGACGTCCCGTTACTTAACAATATCATTAATCGTTATTTTTATCTGAGTGACGTATCGTGAGAAAACTGTATAGTTTCTTCCTACTTGTGAATTAATTGTACTGGTAGTTTGTACTTTCTTTCTTTGTATTGTTGTATCTTAAGTTATTCTATTGATATTTTAAATATAACTAGATATAATGATGACACATGTTTTTTTAAATATTTTTAGCTTGTAATAAAAACTTTGTATATAAATTATCTGTTGCAATATTATTAGAATGGTCTAGACTTTAAATACAAATAATAATGAATGTGTATTAATTAGTCACGTTTTCCATAATATCTTTTCAAACTACCAAATACAGATCTTTAATAGGTATTTATCAAGATTTTGGTTGTGCCGTATATTTGATGTCATAAGTGATCCAGATTAGACTAACCAGGATTTTAATTATTAAATATTGAATTAAGTATTGAAAGGCTACTCAATTTTATGTTGTAGGTACATAAATATCGTGCCATCTCTGTCATTATACAAAGAATTTATAGTGACAGAACTATACTTAAGCGCGTCAGGAAATTGAGCAACCTTTCAGTGTTTGGGGCTTAGGCATTAAAAACACAAAATATACCACACACACGCCAACCCAAAACTCAAGCTCAAATTGTAAACACATACAAAAAGATGTGATAAGTGATAAC